AAGAGCACGGCGGGGTACGCCAATATTATTAAATGTATGTTGTATGTAAAATGTCAACTCCAAAATTGTGTGTTGGAATTGCGGCATAACTGTATACACGACTTCGAGTTGGAAAGTGAATGCAGAAAAAAAAGAGAGACAAGGGTCGGCGGCTTAAGTGTGTCTGCCGCGTTTAACGCTAACGTAAAATAAATAACATAATACTGTCACACAAATAAGCATATTGAAATTTAATTGAAAATATATTGTTACATCGTGTTTATTTACATTTTAGACAACAATGTTCGCGTGTGTTGGAATGCTCTCAGTTTCCGTGTTGCATCAACAACCATGAAATGAATCAAACATGTCACATTGTTTCATTGAAAATATGAAACGTTCATCATGTGTCAGATCACATGTATTTCCCCCTACTTTCTTTTAGTGATTCACACACTGAGGTATTTCCGAACGGCATCGACGGACATTGCGGGCTTCCCGGCATACATCGAGGTGGGTTATGTGGACGGAGTCCAGTTCACACACTACAACAGCGAAAGCAAGAAAGCGGAGGCTAAGCAGGACTGGATGAAGAGCTTCGCCGTGGACAACCCTGACTACTGGGAGATGGAGATGCAGAGAAACGTCGTCAACGAGCACGTCTTCCTAGTTAACATCGGAATCGCCAAGGAGCGCTTCAACCATACGGGAGGTTGGTTTAAGGCCAACATTCGATGCAAATATCACCTGGTATCTTCTTGACTGACCCTTATTTTGTTTTCCACCGCTCGGTCAATTTGGGGACCAAAAACGTGTTTCTCTCAGGTGTTCACATTATCCAGTGGATGTTTGGCTGCGAGTGGAATGATGAGACCAATGAAACGGATGGTTGCAATCAGCACAGCTACGACGGAGAAGACTTCATCGCGCTGGACACCAAGACAATGACGTATGTTGCGGCAAATCCGCAAGCTTTCATCACCACTCTCAAGTGGAACCGTGACCAGGATCGAAAAGAATACAGGAAGCATTACTACACCGAGATGTGTCCCTCTTTGTTGCGGAGGCTTGTCAACTACGGGCAGAAAGTCTTGATGAGGACAGGTAGGAAGGATCGTGACGTAACGTGAGCTCCGGCTATGTTGTTAAAATCCACACAAGATGTTGCCAAAGCACTATATTTTTTCTGAATTCAGCGATCAAATCACTTAATCCGGTTTATCCAGTTCTTTTCCGGCCACCCATAGCTACGCCGCTGGCACAAACTGACACGTGACAAATGGGCGAACGGGAAATGAGCACGATTACTTGATTGACACCAGCGGGGAAATGTTTCACTTTCACTTTTGACTCAGCACAAAATGTGTTCATGGTGCTTTCAATGACAGCCAACAAAACGGGAAATCTCACGTGTAGAGAAAAAAAAACACACACACATAATCAACGAGTAAAACCGAGCAACCTCACCCGGATTGGCTCGAAAGTAATTCATTTTTTGCTTAGGCCTGAGCACAAAAAGGGCAGAATGACGACATTTTCAGCAAATAACGGCTGAGAGGATGGAATCAAACAAATCCGTGAAGATGTAAATTCACGAATACGGACTTAAACGCACGCAAAAACTATGATGACGTTCACGGCGTGCTGCCTGGATTGTTGTGGCACAAGGTGGCACTACACCGGAGTGGACTGTGTGTCGAACACCACTTCTCAAATTGCCCGCGAAATCAGCAAAATGGCGCGGGTGGAAACAGTAAACTGCGATCTAAAATTCATTTGCTGACTGACGACTTCCCCTCCCCCCTCCCACCGAGAGCCGAAGCCTGCCAAAAAGTTACCCGAGTGTTTGAGAGTCGAGCAAGAGTGATGCTTGCAAAGTTTTGATGCTGCCTTGAAGCAACGACCTCGGCGACCTCGTGATGTACGCGCAAAGCCGGACGCTGCCAAGAATATGTTTTGCTTTTGGTGTTTTGAAAGTGGAAGAGGAGCTGTAATCAATCGCGTGGAACAATTTGAATGCCGCATGCAGATTTGACATGCGGATTTCACACACTGAGCTCTGGTTGCTTCGCATCAAGCTTCACCTTCACTTTCAATATGGAATGAAGATCTGTTTGTATTGAAGGCGTTGTTTCCCCTGTGCTGGCAAATTTGACTTGTTTTGACATTAATAAAAATAAATCAATAGCCTACATGTCATTGCTTCACACTGGAATATGGTCATAAAATCTGCAATTTTTGAGAATCGTTCAACTGTACATGTCACCACATTTGCACCTTTTTTGGAGGATAGGCAACTGACAATTTAACGGCTATTAGGATATTCCTGTCCCGACTGCTGAAACATAGTTGACGCGCATGGAAAATTAATGGCTTGTAAATTTGGTTTTTGGTTATTTTCTCATCGTCAAGGACATTGCAATGGGAAACGATAGTTCCTAACTCCTCAATTTGACTAATAAACAATAATACTTGAATCCAAATCTTCCACTCTTCCGCCATAGTATTGTACTGGCGGTGAGAGACCCCCACCTTTGGTACAAAGGTGAACCACTGTTCACATTTTGAACATCAAAACAATAAAATACACATCAAAACAATAAAATAATGGATCTGATGAGTAAACTATCCACTGCACATACGCTTTAGAATCTACTGCGTGCGGCTGCTGCAGCAAAATGTTTACTGCAAGAATTGTTGTCAAGGATGAGCATTCAAGTTTGGGTGTGTGTGTTGGAGCTTGACAGAAGAACCTTGCCGTGTCTATTAAGGGGCAAGCAAGTCAGCAAGAGATTGCAATTATCAGGGCCCTTATATGACAACGCTCTGACGTGGCGAAGGCCCTGGGGAGAGAGAGGCCAAGTTCATCATGATCACATAGACAAAGCACACACACAAAGGCGCAGGATACGCGTTGGCAGGCATCATACAAAGAGGATTTGCTGACATACTGCTCTCATATCAGTCGCGTGCAAAACTAGAAGGGTTTCCATGCGCCCCAAAATATAGGCCTGCAGTATTTGTCGATGGGGGTGTGTGGGTGGTCTGCCCTCTCTATCCCAGCATATATAGATCACTATAAATCTTCAACAGGTGCATTCATCTATTGGCGATTGCCGTATCACTCCCAAGATCAGTGAACGTCCGTTTTCTATGCCCCTGAAAGTTAACAATGGAGGGCGGACGGAGATTTTTGGAGTTCTTACCCCCTCCATCACAAACCCATGCACACACTAATCCCTGACTACACACACACACACACACACACACACACACACACACACACACACACACACACAGCCACAC